TGTAAGCAGCTGCGATGATAGTGAAACAATAAGACAGTAGAAAAAGATGCATTTTTAAATAAAATCACCTTGATGTGGACATACACTCAGTAAATTTAGTGCTTGTCTGATATACAAAAATGTATGTGACCTGTTACATTCATTTTTTGTACTTGTGCATTCCCAGAGCCCTGTGCCATCATGCCACCACTGGAGTTATTTATGGAGGTGTCCTATGAAGAGAGACGATCCATGCTGTACAGGGACTTAGAAAGAGGAGACATTGTGGTTGGGAGGATCAACAACATTAGAGAATACGGCTTCTTTCTCACTCTGCTGTGCATGGCAGGAGGACTGAAGAGAGACATAGAAGACTTAGAGTTGTCGGTAGGGCTGGTTTTTAAAAAAAAAATTTTCTTATGAATCATGTCACAATTCTTTTAAATAACATTAGTCAGCTATTTTAAATGCAGAAGACTTGTTTTGTCATTTGGTTACACCCTAAATTCCTGAATGAGGTTAAGATCTTGTAAGGAAAGTGTCATGATTGACATGTATGCTATGAATGGTATGAATACTGTGCTATAACTTACATTTTCATACTGCAAATGATCTGCCCTAAAGGCTCAGAGGGAATAATGGGATTGGCAGTTCTCCAGGAATTCACAGAACACTATCTGCGTCAGTGACTTTCCGTCAGTCCCGTGCAACCCTGCACCTGGTGAAATTACCTGAATTTCCCTCAGGATCAATAAAGAATCTATATCTATCTATCTGTTTATCTATCTATCTGCTATCAGATTATGACATTGTAGTGGCCATGAGTTGCAAAACAATTCCTAATAAGTTGATCAGTTTTATAGTGTGATAATTTACATACAAAGAGGAAATTTTTCTCATTTAAATATTAAGTTAACACAATTCAATGTGGGACACATTTTTTACACAATATGATGGATATCCACATGGAGTACTGGTAACAATATTGGTGTAAAAAGCTATTTGAAAAGACTGACAATTGCAGGTTAAGTTTACTATGTGGGAGAGCTTATGTTCTGTGTCTGGGAAGTTTCACAACGGTCTCAGTTGGCTGTCTGGCAGAGTCATAGGATGGACAGGCAGAATTTAGCAGAAGCTTTTGTGGCCAACCTTGGACCAGCCAACCTGCACCACAGAGTCTGTCACTGCTCAGAAGAGGCTGTAGCAGGACACACCAGGCACACAGTGAGAGTAGTTCAGAGTTGCTAGGTAGAAGCATCATATGGAGTGAGTCTGTTGTTGCAGCAGAGGAGTTGGTGTCAGTGGGGTCTGTGCTCGCTGGCCAGGCTCTTTCAGGGGATCAGCAGGGTGTTACCTTAAATAATGTCCTTGTTATAGAGCCTGAGTTTCCTCATTCACGTTTAGCTCAGAATTGATCAAGAAGGGAGTGGTGACCAGGGCAGGGCTACTTTGTTTTTCAGATAGACTTCTTTCATATGATAACCTGATTAATAAATTTTAATATATGCTCCCTGAAATACTTGATATAATTTTGAGCCTAGTTTCCACCTAAGGGTCATGATTTAGCCCAAAAAATAAGACTAAATATTGCATGTATATAGCAATTCTCATTGGGTTTATGCTATTTGTTGCTGCATCTTAAGTGGCAATGGCTAGAATCTCAATTTAAACTCAAACACATTCCCATTACATCTGGGCTACATCTGGTTTATTTTTATTCTTCTGAATGTGTTCTTTCCTTTATGTTCTCAGTGTTTGTGTCACATCAGAGAAATTCCATCCACTGGCAGCCATGATGACCCTCTGTCCTACTACCAGATTGGGGACTTGATCAGAGGTTAGTGTCTAGTTGGCTTTGTCTTAGCCAACAGTGTGTGTGTGCATGCAGGGGGGTCACAGCCAGTGAGCTGTGATAAAGTAAGACTGGGTTTACATGATGTTATTACAGAATATGATCCTGTTTTTCTGAACAAGTTCGATGATCAATCAGTTTTATTTACCAAGTATGCAGCACACTAGGGATTGATCTCAGTAATTTCTCCCACATAAAAGGACAAGACGCAAATACAATCAATTCAGACTTGTCAGTTTAAAACAAAATTTTAAATAGACAGAAAAAAGCCATAAAATAAAAGATAAAAACAATCCATTAAATGTATAAATAAAATATAAACAATTCATTAAACCACAATTCTTGGGACAGTGATTTCTCTCTTTTATCTGGGCTTGTTCAATATGACTGCATCTGGTAGAGTAACCAGTGATTAAATATTTGTGCCTGACATTGACAGACTTATCAGATTGCTCAGATGAAATCCATCTATTTTTTTTAATCCTCCTTAAATGTCAGTTATAGAACAGTGTGACTGTTTCTGCTGTTTTTCTCACTTCAACTCTGACAGAAAAAACAACAACATAATTTTATCCTAAATTCTGCTGTGCTCTGTAGGTGGGGTGAAAGACATTGACCGCTACCAGGAGAAAATCACGGTGTCCCTCCACCAGGCCTCTCTGTCTCCCAGCTTGAAGCACATCAAACTGGGAGTCATTACCCAGGAGGAGTTGCCCATACACTACAGGTAAACAAAACAAGAGGAGGACACGCAGCACTGGACTCTGAAAGAAAACAACCTAACTCTTAGTTTTTCACCTCTCCTTCTCTCTCTTCCCAGTCGTAGTGTTCGTGCAGCCGCTGACTCCAGTGAGACATATGAACACATACTGAGTCGTTGCCATGGTTACCACAACCCCTCTGTTGTGGACTACTTGCTGAAGAAGGTGGGAATTAGTGACACTCACCCACCGTCAATGATGAGAGGACTACAGAGGTAAAATGTCAAGTGGCTGACCTCTTGTTTTCCAACAAATCAAGTCTTTTGATTTCTCTGGCTCACTTAATTGAAAACAAAGGAGTAACAGCTGAAGTATGTCATAGGAATTTTTAATAACTACTTTGGCAATAGCTATCTAATTACTGCTACTTCTCAAAATAAATACCATTTGACGTGCAGTCAGTCACGGGTGCAAGCCAAGCATGTTTCAAAAACAAGGAAACAGGCAACTCCTTTTTTCATCTTTGAGCCATTTTTATAGGAATGTATCCAGTTTTCTGCACAAAATTGCAAGTAGCATTATATAATTTCAGTTATATGCCATGAAACCTGAAAGCTGCTAAATGTTACTTTCCTTAACCACATAGCATAACTAAGACTGTGATTTGAGGGGCACATGGATGACTTTGTCTTTAGCTCAGGTGATTACTGGACCTCTCCAAGATTAAGAATATTTCTGTATTCTTGTGAGTGTTGATATGTCAAGAGAATTTCCCAGGCAAGGAGGAAAAGGAAGCCTACAATGTTGACAGAGGTTCTCTAAAGGTCACTGAAGTTCTCACCTGTACCTCTTTTTCTTCACAGTAAACTTTTCCAAGAGGAAGATTTTGCTTCTGCTATCAGGAAGAAGCAGTCTGCGTCCTGGGCCTTGAAGTGGTAATGCAAAACTTTTAACATTGATCACAGCAAAGACATGGAGGACTCACCTTATTGCTATCTAATTGTGTGACTGATGAAATATTTAACCTTGTGTCTGTTCTTTCTTACTCTGTCTCCTTCTGATTTGATATTAAATATTACCTTTATTTTCCATCCACCATGTCGTCAATCTTTCAGTGTCCGTGCAGGTGTGGACCACTTTAAACACGGACATCATGTGGAAGCCATGAACGAATACAACAAAGCCTTAGAGATTGACACTAATAATGTAGAAGCACTGGTGGCACGGGGAGCTCTGTGAGTTGATTCTTTGAGTAATACAACTTGCTTTTAAAAAATATTTGAGGTTTAGTGTCATGTCTAATACATACAGTGACCTTCTGGAAATGTTTAAAATATTAGACACTTGTGTGTTATATACTCGTGTTTATTTTCACAGGCCATATAATTTAATTATATGAAATGGATAATAAAAAAGCCTGTATGTAAAATTGCCAAAAATGGGTAGCACTGATAAAGAATGCCTTAAAATAGTTTGAAAAAAAAAAAAAAACTATGAAAATATGAGTTATGACTACTTCAGATACCACACCCAGTTCCTGTCTGTGGGTTGGTGCCTGCTCAACACATCACCTTTTATGCCTTTGATTCCTCATGACACACTAACAGGAAGGGAGAGCATTTATGAACTGTATAACAGAAAATGCACTGATCATCCACAGCATTAAGACCACTAACCACTGAAATTTAAATTACAACTTGGGCTTTAAAATCCCTTTGTATGCATTAAAATCTCAGAACATAATGATCACCGTTCACTTGTCATATTTCCTGTGGATAGTATCATTGGATTCTCTTTTTTAAGTTTTTGTTCCCACTGTTTGTTTCCTTCGTTGTTTATTCTCAGGTATGCTAACAAAGGCAGCATCATGAAGGCGATTACAGACTTTGAACTGGCTCTGGAGAGCTGTCCAGATCACCGCAATGCCAAGAAGTACCTCAGTCAGACTCTGGTGGAGAGAGGAAAACAGTAAGCAGTTCTGCACTTTTTCAGATGTGGGTGTAAGTCACACATGTAAAAGTCTCATGTATTAACCTTCAAGTCTCCAGTAAGTCCCAGGTTACTGTGGTGAGAATCAAGCAAGCCTCTACTGTAAGTCAAGCAAATCACATATCAGGTTGTACAAAACGATGACAGCAGTGCTGTTTTGGGAGCATCAAATAGTCTGTTTTTTTTCCACAATAGAAAGGAGGTCAGTGTGTCGATGGGGCTGGTTACCAGACTTTAAAATGAATTGCTATGCAGTAACATTCATTACCTCTTTTACTCAGGTCTGTTGCTTTTTCTTTGTGTGTGCGTAGGTTTGAAGGACAGGAGAAACTGGTAACAGCAGAAGGAATGTATAGGAGAGCACTTTCTCTGGATGACTCAAACCCTGAGGCACAGGAGGCTCTGCACAAGATCACAGACACTATACAGGTGAGTGGGCCACAACACACACAAAGGGCTCAGCAATGTTGGCATCGTGTGTGTTTTAGGCTTTATTGTTGCACGATAATGGATGTATGAAAGCCTTGTTAAGCCTGTATTTGAATGCAATGATAGGTATGACTACAGACAAACAGACAAAACAGCTGACACAGATTAATAAACATTACTCAGTGTGTTACCTGATCCTTGGTGGCTTTTTGGGCGTATTAGTTTCCAGTATGTCCAGTGCACACAAGCACCTTAGAAGCAGGTATGGAACAGCAGCTCCTTTCATGATGTGTGTGACTGAGGTGAAGTTGGATTAGTTTGTCCTTAATGTGTCTGACGGGTGCCTTGACTGGATTTCCTGTGAATTGTCTGAAAGGATGCATGTTTTTTGCCTTTGTTTCTTCATGAAAAGTGTGTGGGCCGGTTTTTTTTTTTTAAAGCAACTATAATAAATATTTTTTTAACAATAAATCATCATGACCGCTTGTACATGAGAAGTCTCACCCGTAGTGAGAAACTCAGAGGAACATCATCAGACTGTGTAGCTGCCCTCAGCTCTACAGAGCTTCAAAGTGTCTTTCACCTCATCATTTGGGTTTTGTGGCCAGCAGCTTTTCATGCTCGGCATCAAACAGCAGTCAGACACAGTTAGCAACTTGTTAACTAGGACCAGATGTCTATGACCTGCTGTAGTCCAAAAACAGAGTTAACAGATACTTAGATTCATAATGTGGACACAAACACAACTTCAGATGAATGATGATAATAATAATCCTTTTCTGTTGGATGTGTAAACAGGCAGCCAATGTTGCAGGTTTAAATTTGCAGTACTGCTGAGAGGTATGATTTTTACAGTCACGTGTTTGCAGACCAATATTCAGACTCATAACCTCAGTGTTTTATTTATACAGTGGTAAATCTGGCCAAATCTGAGTTTACACTAGAGATGATCATAGACCTCAAATGAAGACACAGGTGTTTGATACAGGCAGCGTGGACGTTATAGCTTGATCATCTGAATCAGTAAAATGTCTGTTGGCTGCCAGCTGAAGGCAGGTTTAAATTCATTCCATTCCACTCTGATCATTAACAAATGATAGCAAGGAATGTATTGTGTTAAACAGGTCTGATCGAAACGTTATGTAATTGGTTCTGCTATGAGCAGCTCCAACATTTCCTTCATCAAAAGTGTTTTTCAGTGTGTACAGTGACTGTTTTGAGCACAGTTTTTTGTGACCTTACCAGTGTCAATGCAGCTCATATTTAAAACCTCAGAATTATTGTGTGTTGATTTGGGACACATCTAGGCTGTGCTATGAGCTCCTCAGACACTGTTAATATGAAATTTGTGCTCCCGACACTGGTATGTAATGCTGATGGAGTGTTTCGTGTATGTGTGTGTCTGCGACCATGGGGCTCTGCCCTTTCACCCTCTGACTGCCACGGCCTTGTCACCTGCCTTGTGGGGGCGAAAAAAATGAACTTGACAACACAAACTCCTCCTCTGGACACTGGTGTGTGCCGGGTCCGAATACGGTAACGTTGCAATCGTCTCTGTCTCAATGGGGCACAAATGTTGTTTTCTCTGCACATCTCTGCCTGCAACTCTCCCCATCTGCTTCTTCACCAACTACCTTGCTCATTGGTCACACCACTTTTTCTGTGGTAACTGTCTCATTCTGTCATCTGTGGTTTGCTATCTATCCTCACGTTTCTCTGTCCTTCCGCACACTTTCCCTTTCCTCCCCATACTTTTTACTCAAACACAAATGACCGAATAAATGAATGACTAAATGCCATATTCGGGGTCTCTGCTGCATGTCTTGGATCATGGTAATTATGTGTTTGAATACGTCTCCGTGGGCTTTTGCCTGCCATTGTGATGCCTTGTCCTGCCTCGCCCGGCAACTAAAGAAATCGATTCGCCTACGAGAGGAAGCGCTGGCTAAGGAGCAGGTCAAAGCTAAGGGCAGCCAGACCAGCGCAGAGAAATTGCGTAAGATCTTGAAAGAGGAGAAGAGGTGAGTTGGTGCTGATTTTTTTTTAAAGGTATGACAGGTAAATATACTGCTAGCAAATGCATTTAAATCATCTTGTAACTTATTAAAAAAAAATCAGCAGTCTGGTCAGTATAAGATGATCAGTGGATGCATTTTCCTCAGGATGAAGAAGAAGCAGAAGAGATCCGCCTCCTCCACTTCCTCCTCGTCTTCTTCCTCCAGGAGCACCTCTTCTTCTTCATCTTCCTTCTCTCACAGGAGGTCAAAAAAGAAGAAGAAGAAGAGGAGGAGGAGATCTGAGCATGGAAATAAACGCCATCGCAGGATCTCCTCAAGGGAGAGCAGGAAGAGTGAAGAGGGTAAGAGAGACACGAAAGAGAAAGATGAGGATGAAGTGGAGTGGTACCCAGCACCTCCCAACACCTCAGCCACCTTTCTCAACCTGAAAGGAGGTCTGGAGTTTGGAGAGAGGCAAGAGGAGGAAGGGAGAAATGCAGAAGATAAAAGGATTTGTCAGCTTTATTCTTTGTCAGCAGCCTCAGAGGATGAAGAGTCCGACTCCTCACGTAGAGAAAGAAAAAGAAAGGACAGCAGGACAAGGAGATGGAAAAACAGTAGAAGTCCAGACAAACAGGAGAAGCGAAGCAGTAGAGAAAGAAGGGATACGAGCAGGGAGAGAGGGAAGAACAATAACAGGAGAGATAGTGACTCCAAGAGAAGAAACTTAGATGAGAACACAAAGCGAAGAGTGTCCTGCTCGTCAGCTGAGTCTGACTATTCAAGGAAATCTAGCTTCCATTCTGAATATTCCAGACACTCTGGTTCTGCTCCCAGGATGAGACACGACTCATCAAAGAGGAGCTCCTTCGATGGAGGTAGGTGTGAGAGCAGAGGCAGGGAGGAAATTTGTGAGGTAGAAGAGAGAGAGAAGGAAAGTATAGAGGGGGGAGCAGCGGAAGAGAACAGCAGGTCAGATAGACACAGCAAGAGATCAGAAAGTGCTGGAAGCCAGAGTGGCTCGACCTCAGCGCCACAGGCGAGGCCTAAAAAAGACCTTCCTGCTAACCTGCTGGACATTTTCAATCAGATTGCACAGTTTGAGAAGGAGAAAGGAGTCAGGCCAAAAAAGTAACTCCCAGAATTTGCCAAACATGACAACTATAAAATGGATGTTTGACCCATGAATTTATTTTCTGGACTACACGTGATAAATGGGTAAATGTTTTTGGAGCTGCAATGTACCGTCATTGTAAATTACCTTTAGTGTTGAAGAAAATGCCATGTCATTTTTGAAAAGTTTTTTATTTTCTAGGTTAAATTTTACAGCCTGTGGTCAGTGGTAGTATTTGCTGAACAAGAGTCGGCCAAATGCATTATAATTTTCATCTGATTGGGTTTAAACTAAAATTTAAAATGACCAAAATAGTATCCTGACTAATGTGAAAACTAGTGTTGTTGTAACTAGTGATTATTAGTGAAATTCAAGAGAACATTTCCCAAGTATTATTGAAAACAGCCTCAAAAAATAATGTATGAGTGAGAGCATCATTGAATACAGATATTACAACTTATAACCTTTCCATTTAGTCATTCTCGTGTTTGTTTTGACACGATTCAGCACATTTAGACATCAGACTTTAACATCTGTTTCATGTTCATCTCAAGTTGAGACTTTTCTCTGTTAAAGAACAAAACTGCCTTATATTTACTGCATTCTGTGCGTTCTGTCTGTGGCTTGTTGAACCTCTTCCCAGACAACCTGACTGTTAGTACTACAGTACTTTTTCTAGCTCTGCTCAATATAGATATTTCAGTTGTATTTTAGCACATCTTTTTCCTGTGGCTATATGAATTCAGTTAATTAAAGGATTTAAACTGAAAACTACCTGTTGTGTCATTTAAGTCCCTGTGAAGTTGTTTCCAACACATTTGTTCTTTTTTTTTTAATTTGAGATGCATCACTACTGTTGTATAAATATTAAAACCACATTACATTTATTACCAGATGCTAATAGTGTTTATCTAGTTCAGCCAACACTTGATAGTGACAGAAAAATCATTATAAAGTGTTTCATATAATACAATATTATTGTGTTGCTGGGCAGGCCAGTGGGGCTCATTTTATCATAAAGTAATGCAGTCTTTAACATTTAGTATAAATTTAAACTTTAATCATGATTTAAAATAACTTGCTTACATTTGCTGAGGTTTTTAATCATTCTTGTCACCATACATGGCATTCAAATAGTATTAGTTTTTAAACAACTAATACAATTGTAACCTGACTACAGTACTAGTGCTGAGTACAGGAGGCTGCTTCTTTAATCAAGGCCAGTGCAAACTGAAAGACACCTGCAGAGACCAGTAACTTGGCATCTTTTCAATAAAAGACGCCATCAACATCCAAGGTCAAACAACATTGCACTGTTAAAAGAGTCAAAGTTTTAAGTTTCAAAAAGCTTGCACGTTCAAGGACACAGTCAGTGGGGATGTAAATGCAACAGTGCTGAAAACCTCCAGTCAAACTTGGTAGTGGAAATATTAAGCTGCAAGGCTGTTTCAGGTGACTTGCACAGGATCATCTACACACCGGCCAGAGAGAAATACCACTGTATTTTGCAGAGGCATGCTGCCCCTTCTGGCTCAGTAATATGTGTGGAAGAGGGTTCATTTTCCACTAGGATATTGATCCTAAATATGCATAGAAGCTCCTCTATTCCAGGCCTGTTTGAAGTCTAAGGATGAGCAAGCACCACTAGCCTTCATGGCTTTCCCTCCACTTACCTGACCTAAACTTTAATAAGGAAAAATTGGCAAAGGCCTAAAGGGGAAACACACAAACATCACACAACACTGATCTGGGAAACTGTTAAAGGGTTGGTTCACGCATGACAAAATCACAATATTGCATATTTTTGGTATCCAGTTATGCAGGTATATATGAGGTGCTAAAACTGGCAACTGGGCTTGAGGTTCTTGATGTTTAACCTCTCTTTCAAAAAGCTTGCAGCTCTGGCTCTCTGTCGTTCTTAAAGGACTTCCTTGTGTGTTTGACAAAGGCCAAGTTGGGGAAACCAGAGGTTTAATCCAATTCCTGTTTATCCACAACTCTGCAAAACTAATAACATTCCCATCATCCTCTGCTGTTCTTTGTGTTTAGTGCAAATTATTAAATGTTGTCATGCTAAGATACTGCATATTATATCTGCTACGCATGCTAGCGTTTTTACTGTAAGCATGTTTGCACAGCTCAGCCTCACAGTCATTTTAAAGAATCTGTTATTAATGTGCACATCTCAAGTACAAATCATGAATTCTGATATACTGGATGGCAGCAAACACTTGAAGGGAAATTGACAACAATCTGGATCTGGAAACCCAAGCTGTTTGCCTGGCTTGATCCTACAAAAGTAAGTGAGAAACCTTTCTTTGGTAGTTTGTTCATGACCTTGATCAGAATGAACTAACAAAAGCTAACAAAACAATCTTCACTCAAGGTGATATTGGAAGGTCATTATCAGCTGAAAACAAGTTTTATGATAACGTCCCAGTTGGCATAAAATAAAATTTGTTCCATTAATTTGAGCACTGTTAGGAAAGTTCCAGAATAAGTGAGTGGGCCCTGAAGGTGAGATAAGTTTTTAGTGATTTGGGTGAACTGACCCTTTAAGTGGTGCTGAAATCATGTGAAGACAAACAGCCACATACAGTATAATGATGTTTCAAACTTTTGTAAGCATTACTTTCCTGACTTAACATATCTTATTTTTAGCCGGTAACACATATAATCTTGACAGTGGATTAAATATGACACTGAATTTTGAGTTTTGGTCCAGGATTTCCTTTTTTCATACATGTTCAAACTAATGCAGTATTGCCCAAAAGAAATGAGATGGTGTAGCACACGTAGTTGTCTTTTATCCCTCAACTCAGCAAATTAAAGCCAAAGTGGCCTTATGGCTTATTGGTGCTTTAAGCTACTTGGTGTCACATATTTGATTTAATAACTGGACACACACACACCAGTGGCAATGCGACCAGCTGTGCATCTTCCTGTGCCAAAGTAGCTTACTTTGGGCTTAGCTGCCAAACCTCCCACTTTCCTCTTCCATCATTACTTGTCCCATCATCAGTGATGCAGCAGGGAGGGTACAAGTCCCAGTCTATCTTGTTAGGGCAGATTAACCGTTGGCAAAGAAGCCTCTTCATCTGTACACACAGACTCCTGATCCTGTCCTTTCTGTCTCAGACGCCTGACATCTTAATCGTTATAAATACAGGCTACAGGAGACGCGGCAGCCATCAAACTGAGTGCTCACTCTGTGCGTCATCATTGCTCCTAAAAAGATGCAGCAGAGGGGTTTTTGGTCCTTGGCAAGACATCACTAGGCACATGGATTATTTGATTCTTCTGGTACCATCATGCGACTTAAAAGTGACTGATATGCCGATTGCAGTCTGATATTGAGTTTTTAGTTTTAATCATCAAACACTAGATAGAGGAGAAAATAGGAAACCAAAATCCGTGGACATTACAGTGAACACCAGCGTCTTCTCATACTGATAATACTTATCTGAATTCTGGTGACCCTTATCTACAGCCTGCACACTTTGTCCAATAAAATATATAGAATATTTTGACATTTAAAAACCAATAATTTTTTTTACTGAGAATTCATAAGGGGAAGTGTTTTAAAAGAGAAATTCCTTTATGAAGTACCTATGAAATTAAGTATTAATAAAGTAAATTAAGTATCACTATTAAGAGCAAAACTGCTTTATTTTTAATGTGCCTTTAGTCACCACAAGTTGAGCCTGAAGTGTAGTCGTCCCTTCTACCTTAGCCATTTTCAGCAGATGTCACAAGAGGAAATAAGATCAGTATTCACAAATCTGATGATAAATTGTTGAATTTGATTTGTTAGGCCTTGCAGTGAGGTTACACAGTGGTGTCACTGAGGCCTTCCTCAGTTTGACCTCATCTTTTTAGTTTCATAGTTTTCATAACTGCATTCACAAACCTACATCACTTACAGTTTTACCAAATGTTTGATTTTAAAAAATTAGTGGTTGAGTGGAATTAGTGATGTTTAACAAAAATACATTCAGTGCACACTACTGTATACATCTAGAAGCTTCGTACACTATTGACATATATCAGATGAACACTAGATGATGCATCATGAATTAGTAACAGTTAGTACTGTAGCATCTGTCCATAGTGTTGTGGTAAAACAGCCTTTTCTGAGTGCACATGTATGTTACTCCTGTTGACTTACAGTTCTGCAGCTCTACACTGGGGGGCAGTGGAACACTGCGGACACCAGTGATGGATTTTGGAGTGTAGAGCACGGTAAACTGCTCCTCACCTACGCTACTGGACCCTTTATTGCCTTTGTTCAAGTAAGAAACTGCATTTTAAATAAATGTACATGGTTGATATTTAGACCCATCTGTGACTGTGGTGTTTAGTGGTTTTGACAAAGATGCAGCCTCAGAAGGAGTACAGGGAGAGTAGCATTATGGTGTTTACAGAGTCATTGCTATGGACACAACTGTTGCTTCGGAGGACTTCCACCTCATACGGTTGGACAAGACTTGGAAAGTGATAAGCCTGGCAGTATTTGTGAATGATGGTGTAATTCTGCTTGCATCACTATTAAGCAGCAAGACTTCTGTAAGGACACCGAACTGTTAGCTGTTACCATGAGGCCTACGCTGACGGAATTCTCACACGTTATTGTTGATAGCTGTTTACGTCCCACTCTCTTCTAATGCCAGTGCTGCCTGTCCTGCACTCAGCTGTGACAGGCTGCAGACACAGCATCCACATAGACTCCTTTATCATCACTGGGGACTTTACCCATGCTTCTCTGTCCTCCACCCTACCCTCCTTCACCCAGTATGTCACCTGCCACACCAGAGACACTAAAATACTGGACCTATTTTATGCCAACACCAAAGAGGCTTATCCCTCATCCCTCCTCCCTCCCCAGGAAAGATCAGTGCACAACCTGGTTAATCTTTTTCGGTGTACAAACCCTTCATGCAAAGAGAACCTGATGTTAGCTGCACAGTGAGCAAATGGTCTAAAGAGACTGAAGAGGCCCTAAAAGACTGTTTCAACACATTTGTGTGCGAAGAACTGTGTGATCCACACGGGGAGGCCTATATTAACTTCTGTGTGGAGAACACTGTAACCATCAGGACTGTTCGGTGCTTCTCCAACAACAGACCATGGATCAACTGTGATATAAAGGCTTTCCTAAAGGAGAAAAAGATCAGGAGATGAGTAGGAGCTGAGAGCTGTGCGAAGGAAACTGAGGGAGAAGATCTGGGAGGGGAAGGCCAGCTACAGGAGGAGGATGGAGGGACAGCTGTAGCAGAACAATGTCGGCAGAGTCTGGAAAGGCCTCAAAGCCATCTCTGGCCACAAGAAGTCCAACTCCCAGGCTGGAGAGGTCCAGAGGTGGGTGACCTAATTCTTTTTCAGTAGATTAGATCATTCTTCGGCCCCTCCCCCTACACATGTTCAACATGAGCCTGAGGCCAGGGAGAGTACCACAGCTGCAGAGAACATCCTGTGTGGTACCGGTGCCAAAGGCGCAGCACCCGAAGGACCTCAACAGCTATACACTGGTGGCACCCGCATCGCACCTGATGAAGACACTGGAGAGACTAGTCCTGGTCCATGTCCGCTCTCTGGTGAGCTCATCTAAGGACCCACTTCAGTTTGCCTACTATCCTTGCATCGGGGTGGATAATGCCATCATCTACCTCTTGCCCTCTCTCACCTGGAGGAGCTAGGGAGCACTGTGAGAATCATGTTCTTAGACTTCTTCAGTGCCTTCAACATCATACAGCTGAGGCTTCTGAGGAAC